TTGCCCATGAGTCTGCAGGGTGCCAGCAGCACAGCCTAAATCTCTCAATCCCAGTTCAGCTGCAGGTCTGGAACAGTCTGGCCCCTGCGAGCACTGACAGTAGTTATTTTGCAGCTTTCCAAAGGGATTTGTGAGTGGCAAGAAGATTGTTGGTACTGGCATTGTCCTTGGAGCCCTTCCATGCCAGGAAGTGCACACAGAATGTCTCTACTGTCCGTCCAGTTTAACCAGGGAGATGAGCACCCAGGTCTGAGCACTGGAGGTGGCCTTTTCTCAGGGTGACTGCAGCAGGAGCTGTGTGACCATGTCCCCCTCGTTTCTGCACTTGCGCTTGTGATGTGGGCCATAACTGCGTGCCAAGATGCTTGGGGCTCTTTCCCACAACTGCTGGTTTGCCCTTCAGGAGAGACTGTGGGAAAGACGTTGGAAGCTTGCCAGCACTTAAGTGATCTTTGACCATATCTTCATTAGAAACTGAGGAGGTTTGAAATAGCCACAGTTGGGAAGGGAGGAAAGGAGTAGGGAGGGAAGAAAAAAAAAAAAGTGGTCCAACCTTTCTCTCCCAGCTGTGTGAGCTTGCGCTAATGGTTTGCATTTGCTAACTCATGTTGCTGGGTTTTGTACCGAGGGAGCAAGGGGCAGCAACTGCAACTGAGACTAATGATGTAGTGGGCACCCACTCACACAAAGAGCCTTTGCCAACGGCCAGCTTCCAGCGGCGTGTCCTTTGTGACTGCGGTACCTGCAAGGGTAACTTAGAAGCGCAGCGAAATTATGCTCAGTGTCAGCGACAGAACTTGGAAGGGAACTGAGACCTCCTTCCGTGGCAGATCCATGAGATCAAGCGCTCTGATCATAATGCAAAGCACAAATGCAGGAATAAATAAACCTTCTTAATCCGATCAACCTGGTTATTCTTGAATCCCATAAAATAACTGCCGGTGGGGTTGCTTGAGAAGAGGTTGCTATAAACATGACTTATAAGGAGGGGACATCCAAACTTTGTGCAACCCAGTGATTACATTGGCGATTTTCCAGAATCCCCACGGGCTGCTGCTAATTGGCATAAAATGAAGCAGGTTGCAGCCACCTTCATCTTTAATACAAAGAGAGGGCCTCAGGAGGCTACAGGTTCCAGCGTGTGGCTGCTCACACCAAGAAGGAGCACAGCACGCTGGGACGTGTAGTCTCCTTGGGTCCTCTTTCCCGGCTGACAGAGGTCTGGGGAAGCTGGCAGCCACATTGGACACCTTTGCAGCTGTTTGACCATCCTTCTCAAAAAAAAAAAAAAAATCAAATATGGCTTTGGTTAAGTTCATGGACTGTTAATAAGCATTCACAAGATTTAAAAATAAAAAAACCCCAACAAATATAATTTCCTCCTTCTCTCCTCCGCCCAGCAGCAGACTACTGGTCGAAACCAAAGCTGGAAAAAATAGTTGAAAGTCAGCTAAAGTCACCTTGGTAACTGCAGCAATACACTTGCCCAGAACAGGAGACATCAAACCCAACTACAAACAGCTTTAAAGAAACAAAAAGAATGTAATCATCTAAAGAATTAATCTGACAACTGCCCACATTTACACCTCCCACAAGCTCCCAATGAGAGGGAAATGCGCTTTAATCTCCTCCAACTCCCCTCTAGTTTCACAAAACACGAGATGTGCAGTCCTTAAACTGGGGCATTTCCGGCATGCTGCTTCCATTTAAATCTGCTGCCTTTCCTAATGCAGCAGCCCTGGCTTTTGCAGACTTGTTTTTTCTGGGCACTGAGAAACATGAATTTTTTTTGTGGGGGTTGGATGAAGTATTAAATCTGGAATAGACAAAGTTTGCAACATTTTACGTGGTAGTCAGCTAGATCTTAGTCATAACAAGTAAAACTCTACTGGCTTTTGCTGCTGATTTATTTGGTGATGGGGTGGAGGAAGCAAAGGCTTACGGGTAACTGACAGTCGTAAAACCGAGGATGTTAGTGTTAGAAAGCAAACTTTTTCTACATTTTCTTCTGAGGCTGAAAACTACAAGCTGTGGATGGCGATGTGTGTTGCCATGTGAACCTTTTAATAACAACAACCTAGAAGTCCTACCGACCTTTCATCTGGGCCATCAACCTCTGGGCCATCAGCCTTTGGAGGGTCAGCACGAGGATTTCCATTCCCAAAGGGAGTATTTTAATGGTCTTGCCAAGTCCCTGTGTCATGAAACGTGTTCCAGAGTCTGGCAGTGATGGCACTGCTGCCTCTTAATGTGTTACATGCAGCCCGCAATGCACAACTCTGTTTAGAAAGGTATGGCTTAGATAGATAGAAGGTTATTTGATTTCTGCTAATTGGAGTTTTGCCCCTAACTTTGTATAGCTGAGACTGTGTGTGAGCTCCACTAAAGTGAAACAAGAGACACAGAAACTTTGACTATTTTGGAAAAGTTTCATGGAAAGCATTAATAATTTTGTGTCAATCAAAGTATTAACTACCATTTTGCTTCACTCCTTCACCTTTTTTGACAGAAGGGCTAGTTACTTATTAATGTGAAGTCATAATTATTGACAGCCTTAAAGTCATGACAGTTCCGTTTGAGAGTTACACATTAGTCAACATCTTCTCTTGAGCGTGTAATGACAAACAGCATTTGCTGTTTTTAATAAGACTTAGAAAGCATTGCCCCTTGCCTCCGGAATATTGTCATAATTCCTCTTACTGCATTAACAACCGGAGGCTGTTTGCCCTCCAGACTGTGGCCCCATTGTGCTAGCAGCTGTACTGGCTGGCATGGTGGAAACCCAAAAATGCATCTTCAGCTCAGGGGCTTTGTAGCCTGGGGACATGGGGAATTCTGCAGCAGTCTGTCCTCCCAAAGCACGAACCTACAGCAGCAGCTGCCTGGGAGGCTGTGTTAGGGGCCGTACCCTATACACTTAGGCAGTCCAGGTAAGGAGGGCAGTCTCTTGTCGTCTGTAGCAAAAACATTTCTGTAAAACTCCTGGTCTGCTCCTGGGTGCATAAGCTCTGGAACTGCATTTAAGGAGTGCAAGCTTATGGTCTGCTTGAAACTCATGCGTTGCTAATGGCTGACCCATTTGGTGAGGATTGATAAATGAATCATTGGAAGCCGTGGACCACAGGCTGACTTTCCCACAGCTCACTGTGTATATAAGATCTGATAAGGAAGTTGAGGCAAAGCTTAGCTTAAGGTCAACTGATCATTAATCAACTGTAACTGCACTTCTCAGGTAATCAGCCTGCAAAATGCTGGCCCACTCTGCTCTTTGAAGACCCCACCTACAAAGAGCTGTAAAATGTTTGCTGAAGTAGATTAAACACAGCTTTAAGTGCCACCTATAGACTACAAAGCATGTTGTGTCTTTCCTTCAGGGTTAACCCACCAAATTGACACTCTGTTGACTATCAGTCCCTCAGCCCACCCCAGCATAAGCTATATCCTGACCTGCTGGCTCCTTACTGGGTCCATTATTGCTTTTGTGTGTTGCTACGACAGAACATGGGATGTGTTTCACAGTTTTTATCTTGGAGGGAGCTGCATTGCTCTGATTTTTGGGTTCTTTTTTCCTCCATGTGTCTGACCTGGCCATGCAGAGTATTTGCAGGAAGGGACTGAGAGATATCGGAATTCTGCTTGTATCCTCATTTCAGAGCGGGCAGCTCAGCAGCCTGGGTGCAAGGCTCACTTGGGACTAAGTGACCTGGCAGAAGCAATAGGCTGATCTGCTTTTGAAGCCACATGCTGAACTGTGTTACTACGTGTGTGGTGGATGGGAGTAATTTTAGGACAGCACCCAAATGTAGAATCAAGTAGATGTGTGATCTAAGCCAGCTTGTGAGGGTCAAGCTGTTTCTTTACAATCATTTCCAGATGTATGTTAAAGGTGGCTCCACTTGGGTGGAGGAAGGCTCAAGGCTTGTTTTAACAGCGTTCCCAAGGCCTCATAGCCTTGTTTGGCTTTTGGTCTGTCTCACATGATGGAAGCACATTGCGATGTGACACCTCTCATCCCTCCTGCTTTCTCTCTCCCCTTTCTCCGTACTATAGAAGCTATCTTGACAAAGTCTTGCCTCTGTTAAGTTCACATGGAATGCCAGGTAACAAAAATAGAAATCACATATCAGACACATCACGTCAGTCTGTGTCATCCACAAAAATCCTAACCTCCCTGTGTCCTTCATTCTTTGTTCAGGACTAATAAGTAAGGGATCACACGTGATGCTCTTTGAACATATAAAATGTTTATGGTCAGGTATTTTGAGATATACTGGTTTGATTATCAGGAGAGTTCTGCCTGGCAAAGTTCCTAATCCTGTAACGACCTAACCTTTAGTCGCAGCTTCGCAATACCTCTTGCAGAAATGAATGAATAAGAAATCAGAGCTGCATTGTCTTAAAGCAGCCCCAGTTACAAGGGAGAAGAATCTGTGCAGATGTCCTACACATCACATGTAGAGTCGATCTTTTGGCTGTTGCGCTTGGTGCTGGTGGAAGCAGAGGATTCTCAAAAGCCTTTTACTTGAACTGTGCAAAAGAATTATTTGAAGGCAGTTGTAAGGATGCCTCAATGATAACTGAGCAAGCGCACAAGGGACTGGACATGTCTTTACTGCAGGCCACTGCCCAAAAAATCCTGAAGATAAAGCCAAAGCAGGAGAGAGGGTACGCCTGGTAATTCTTCCAAGACATTTTATAGTGGTTTGGGGGTTTGGAGAGTGTATTTGCTCCAGTTCTTTCCAGAAATTTTATCGTCTTGTGTGCTGGGAAGGGATGCACCATGTGTGTGCATCAGTTCAGGTCCTAGGTCATCAAATCACAGTGAAGAGCTACATGCAGGGACTGGTATTCTGAGGGAGGCTATGACTCTGTAGGGGTGATGTGTCTTCATATTAGTTTGCTCCTGCGTCCTTCAGTATTCACACAGTCACTCTGAAATGCAGCAGAAATAGCACACAGCACTGGCGCCCTAAATATGTGCATTTTGTCTCCTCTCTTAGAAGCCGTAAGGACAGTTTAGAAAGCGAGAGCTCGACAGCTATCATTCCTCACGAGCTAATCCGCACGAGACAGCTGGAGAGTGTACACCTGAAATTTAACCAGGAGTCTGGAGCACTCATTCCCCTCTGTCTCAGGTGAGTGAAGCCGTTCTCCTCCACGGCTTGTGCTAACATGCCGCTTTTGCCTTGTGGCATTGTTTCACCATACAGACATGCATGCAATGGGTCTTTAAAGACCAGAGCTGAGATATTTTGCCAAAACACATTAGAAACAGATGATTCTTTGCGTGTGTGTTCATCATGATTTGTCATTCTTTTTATGTTCTACAGTGTATTTTGAGTGCTGAAATGGGACAGAGTTAGCATAGGGATTTTTTTATAAGTCTAATGCTGGTAACTCTGGTAGAGAAGGGGTGTTTTACTGTATTCTGTCAAAGAAAACTCTAATTGTTAATTCTGGCTTATGGACTCAGGCACAAGTGATTGTGCAAAGCTTCTCTGCTGTCAGTTTATGTATGTAGTTGTGTTTTTTAGACAAATAATGTCACTTGTATGACTGAAGGAACAAAACATTGTGTGCCTACTCTGCACTTTGTCTTTTGAAGGTTCAGGCTGTGCATACTTCCGTAAGTGTCTTTTCTAGGTTTCCACAATTTCAGTCAGTGCTATTTTTAAAAATACCTATGGCAAATTCAGTCCTTAACATAAAAGATGAACTGTGGGGTAGAGGCAAATGATTGCAGGTGATTGAGTTACTTCAGCTTAATGAATTACATGTCTGTAGTATCAGAGTTAGCAGCAGCAGGTGCACACTCAGCTGTGCCTGTTGAGAAACCAATAAGATAGTTAACACAAACATATTTTATTTTTCATCGCAAGTGTGTGAACAGTCTATCCTGATCAGCTACCGCAGCTCAGCTGACCAGCAGTAACTCGTCAAGCAACCGTGACTCTGCAATGTGCTATAGATCTACCTCAAGCTTTCCCTCCGACATGTTGAAAACAATGTATGGGTGTCACACATGCTCTGAGCCTAAATACCTGAGCCATGATTTTCCTCATGGAAAGCACTGAGTGAAAAAAGAGAGGTGATACCTTAGATAGTCATGTATGTATATTTTCTAGGTATTTGCTTAAGTAATACGGGTTACGTTTGTCAAGCACCAGGACAACAGATTACTAGGTATTGTCACAGTGGATACGTTTGACCCCACTGATGAACCTGCTTAGAAATGCATCCTCACATTCCCACATGATGTGGAGTCTGGTTTCTCTTTTGCAGTTTTCATCTTATTGAAAGACTGGCAGACCCCTGCCCTTAGGAACACCAACACCTCATCGGGAGGATAGGCAGGCAGTGGGATTTGGATGTATTCTAATTCTGTAACAAGGCCCTGAGATTAAACAGGGAGATAAGGGCAGGAACTCCCTGCCTCAGGAGGAGGCTTGTGACCCGCTTTGTGGAGCAAATCTTTCATATGTTCCTGAAAATTTAATAATTACTGCCCTAAAAATAGTTTCCCATACTGATCGCAGAAGCTGTAGCGATAGATCATCGTCCTGTTGAATGCTGCTCACACTCTCTCAATTCACACACATGTGTTTTATTCCCCAGGGGAAGGCTCTTACATGGACGGCACTTTACCTATAAAAGTATTACAGGGGACACAGCAATCACGTTTGTATCAACGGGAGTAGAAGGAGCCTTTGCTACAGAAGAGCACCCCTATGCAGCACATGGACCTTGGTTACAAGTGAGAGAGCCTCCTTCCTTTTACTCTCCTTTCCTCCTTTACCGGCATCCTAAAAACGATCCCGCTGAGGGCTTGTGTCATTTAAAAGTGTAACAAACCTGTGCTGTCTGCTGCAACATCTCTCATAGCTCTTGTGTAATACTTTCAGTAATTATGGACTCAGAAAATAGCGGTGAACTGTTACTATTTATGTTAAGGGAACTCAGATTGATAAGCAGTGGCTGGAAAGTTCAAAAATCATCTGTGAATACAGTAATGTCCGTTTCCTGGAGTCAGCAAACATTTTACAGGCTGTATTTACTCTTGATTTCTTCCAAAAAGGAATTTGGGGAGGCAGAGTGGAATGACCTAAACAAGAATGGAGCCAGGGCGGAAGAGCTAGAAAGCTGTGGGACTGTGATCCTACAGAGCCAAGATCTCAGTTTTACATCATCTCTAACAGGAAAGCAGAACAGAGAGCACAGCTTCTTTCGGGTTTAGCTCTTTCCTATTGATTCTTTGACAAAAGCTCATGGTTGCTTGAAGCACCCACACATTTTCTGCACCCAGATTTCTTCTGTATCACAGATTTTCCTTGGAAACTCCCCATCTGCTTTGTGTTGAGAATCAGCCTTACAGAGCAGTAATGCACTGATGATATGATGGTGTAGTGCTCTTCTAACCTTGAATTTCTTCATAGTTATAAACATATTGGAAAAATGAAAAAGCTTTGGGAAATGCATTTTTACAGAAAAGCCCATCTCTGAGGGCCTGTATGCATGTAGTACGACTCTGCCTTCACTGTTCCTGTGACATTCCTGCCTCCCCTTCCGTGTTGAAGGCAGGGGTTTTAGCATTGCAGTGTTGCAGTTAACCTGCCAGTGACTTGTTTTCCTGGCATTACACTGCCCGTGTTCGTATATCTGGAGGACATCATACCTTGAAATCTGTAGGACTTGTAAAAGAGCTGATCTTGGCTAAGTCATCTCGTGTGTAGAGATTTTCAAAGAGCTTTCGTGCTTTGATTGTACTGACTGGAAGGTGCAACACTCCTGTAATGATTAACAGCAAAGGGTCAGGTTTAAGGGTGGGTCATTCACTGTTGGTTCTTGTGCTTGCCAACACATGATGCACAGGATCTTGTGACTGTGTTAACTCCAAATATTAGAGTGTTTGTTTGCATTTACATCACATCTTGAACTGTATTGATGCGTAGACCACTCAGGTAACCTCTAAATAGTGAAGAATGGCAATAATTAGGTCACCATTCCGACATATAACTAATATTAGCCCTTACAAACCTGGTTGCTTCTGTGCCTGTTACTTTGGTGCTCAAAATTGTGAAGATTTTTGGAGTAGATGGGAGGGAAAGGTGGAGAATTTCTGGCTCCTGAATGGAGGGGAGAAGCAAGTTTCCCTCCCTCATCTCCTACACAAGGTCAGTGTATTGAATCTTCTCATGTGATGTGGCCTTCTCTGCTGCTGGCTCCCGCTTCATCCTGTGATGAGAATGAAGGAGGACAGACAGATGGGAGGAAGGCAGGCTAAAAGCAGGCTGGGACAACAGGAGGAGCACCCGGTTGTGTGAGATACGTGTGGGAGTGTCTGAGGCTCTTGGCTTAATATGCAATGAGAGGCTAGGTCGGTGTACAGCAGTCCCTTGTGGTGTTGGGAGCAGAGGAGGGAGGTTCATGTGGCTTTGCTTCAGAAGTAAAAGAAGTTGTGGTGCATAAAATTCTCAAGGAGGCGAGCTGTGTTTGGTTTAGTCCCTTGCAGCCTGGTCTGGCTGAGTTGGCAAGCCCTGCAAAGCTTTCACAGCAAGGCCCAGAGAGAATTTTCCTCCTCCCTCGCTTGGGACCCCGGGCACAGCAATGAGCTCCAAGGAGAGTTGGTGGCTGAAAGCAGATCGCTGCAATGCGGGGGCTTGTTGCAAAGACAAGCAAATCGAGGGACCGTGGAGAGGAAGAGAGACAGCAGGCATCTCCTCCTGCAGAGTTTTACCCTGTCTTAGGGAGAAACAAGAATCTGAAAATCCTGGCCTTGATGCTGCAGCAACCAGAGACTGACTTCTCTTGAGCCTGAGCTTTGGTGCGGTGAAAGCCCAAACCTGCAGACTAAACAGAGCACCTCCTGTTTACGTCCTGTGGGCTGGAGTGGAGCGTGTCCAACGTGGGACAGGCCGGAGAGCTGCCACGGAGTCTCTCAGCCCCCGCTGCTCGGGCTGAGCAATGAGCTGAGAGGCTCTGGGTTCCAGTGGAAGGTTAGCAGATGACAGGAGTTTGGCAGGTCCCAGCACCATTCCTACCAGGCAGGTGTCTGTATCGCCACCACAGCTGGTACCCGGTGGGAGCCATTTTAGCGGTCTCAGCAGAAAAAGCAAGGAGTCATTAGACCACGGAGATTTTACACCCGGTTTCTATCAACAGTTTTTCCAGGTCACATGTAAGGCATGTTAGTAGGGGAAGCCTGTCCTGCTACTGCCCATGCTCTGGGAATGATTAGATTATTTTATTCTCCAGAGCTGTTAGATTGGCACCTTTCCCAAGTACTTGGAATTTTTTTTTTTCATTTAAGTAACATTTAATTAGTTCTAAGAAGCTAAATTCTATTAGAGGTCTAAGCATGTCAGACTGGTTTATTTCTGAACTTCTTCCACTGTGTCATGTATTGTTGAATAGGGAAATTGCTTTGACTCAGAAATGTACAAACATATTCAAGAAGTCCCCCTTGTTAACACTAGACTCCTGTTTATATGCTAGTTACTGTGGCAAAGTCTCTGATGTGTAACACTTGCATTAACATTACACATGATCAAAGGCTTCCGCGGTTCTTTCTTCCACTCCCCCTTCCCCCAGCGATGTGACAGCAGAGCCCCTACACCTTCTCCTAAGCAGCTCTGCTCTCCTTTCCAAGGGGTAGATGTTCCAGAAGCACAGAGAATGGCTGTGCAGGATGTGCCTGGCCCCGTGCTGGAGGGCTAAGGATGCCGATCATGCAGACAAACTCTGACAGTAACTGCCCCACAGTGACATTCATATTTGTTGTGGAGCATCCAAGGTTCTTGGTCCAATGCCTGAGCTGTGCCAAGCGTGCAGTTCATCACAGGTCAACCTTATTTGTCTCTAAAACTTACCCAAAGCAAGGTGAGGTTGTGCGTGTGTTCTCCCTCCCTCCCTTCCTTATGTTCCGGCAGATGATAGAGACGCTCTGTTGAAATGTGTTACCGATCAAGCCCGTCCCAATAAAATTGCCTTAGCCTTTAATACATATTAATATTATCCTGGGGTAGTTTGTGTCAAAGCCTGTCAGCATGCATCATCCTTTGGGAATTACCATCATTAAGTCTCCATTGATGGGAGTCAGGACATGCTTCTGCAAAGCTCCTCTGCTTTTATGTGGAGCTCTCTGCCCGTCTAGCACAAAGCAGACTGTTCTCCCCTCCTACCTTGCTCACCTGGACTGCTTACTCTCCCAGAGGGGAGAAGGAGGTTTGTTTAACACTACCTTTAGATAATTTCTGCTCCTGCTGCTTTAGGCAGTCATTGTTCTAGGGAAGAAGATGACACTTAAGTCTTTGATCATGTGCAACATACCTTTAACACATCAGATAGAGCTGCAGACACTGACATATGAGCCAATACAGTGCAGTAAAAACAAACCTATAGTTAAGGAGTCCTCGTTAACTGCAAAATCTAGCGCACAGAATTTAGGAAATATCTCTGCACTTTAGCCTTGCCCCTGTTACACATGTATATTTCAGTATTATATCTAACCAAAGGATCATACCTGTTTTTTAGAAAGCATGCCTGCCTCATTCAGTGAGTGCACAGAGATGCAGTGTGTTTGGGGCATGAATCAGGACTGTGGAGTAAAGTTGTCTTGCCTATAGGACTTCTACTTCATTCGTTTTCCAAAAATTAAAAGGTGTGTAGTGAATGAGGCAATTGCAGAAAAATCACAGTAGTCTTATGACGAAGCCTATTAAATGTTGCCCTGGAGCGCTGGATCCTATTCCTGCCTCTACTATTCTGTTCTTTCTTGATGCTATTCCAGAGTCTTACACTAAAATGTTCTTGCGTGGCAGCTGATTTTCTGTTCCTCGTTTTCTATGCCCAGCTTGAGACCCGAGGTCTGATCTGTGTTCCCAGAGGCAGGAGGAAGCTGGGAGGAATTCCTCTGTGGATACCCCTGTGCCCCGCAGGGCTGAGTACGCTGGAAAACAGGGACCTGCAAGTCTTGTGACAGGCACATGCAAGAAGCAGACGTTCAGATTCACTTTTCTCTTTACTCATTTTCCCATATCTGCTCAGGAAAACCTTCTTCCAGTCATCCTGTGAAGATTAATTCAGTGCTTGCCAAGCATTCCAGCTCCACAGATGAACACCAGAAACAATTTCAGAAAGAGATTAAAATTTATTCTTGCAGGTCAGGAGAAAGAAGGGATCTTTCTGAAGTGGGGGGGTTCATCCCAAGAGTCAAAGACTGACATTCAGCTCCCTGATCTTGCAGATTTTCTCTGTGACTTTGTTAATTCTCTTAGCTTCTTTTACCCTCCCTCCCCCATCTGCTGCATGGAGAGGAGCGCTTCCCTGCCTCACAGAAATGTGAGGCTGAGCACGTCAGAGGCTCTAAGAGTGGTGAGGACAGTAAGATTAGGTACTTCCAATATAATCCATGCTGGCAGTCGTTGGATGGAGCATACTAAATAAAGGGGAAGAGAGTAGGAGGAAGCAGAGAAGCAACTTGAATGATAATGAAAAGAAATGATGACTAATGCTGCATTCAGTAAGCAGAACCATCCTGAGGACTGAGCAGGGCAGAGGTCTTGTGGGAGAGAAACTGCAGACGATCCTGTGGTTACAGATTTGTTTCGTGAGACAGGCGTGCGCTGGGGCCAAATTAGCATGGCACAGACAATCTCTACACAGCCACTTCTGTAGTTTTGTATACCTGGTGTCACTGGTCTCTGAGTGTAGAAGTTGGGGTTTTTTTCCAGGTAATTTGTTTCAGGACAGATCCCG